TTTAGAAGGCCCAGGTGTTGAGGGCGACGCCTGCGTGCCTGCGGTCGCGGGCGTCGACAGTTGGTCGGCTGGCGAAGCCGGTGTTGCACCAGCGGGACCTCCCTTCTTGGGCCACGGCAGCGTTGACTGCGTGTACCTGGCGGACTTCTTAGCCACTGGCACCGCCGCGATTTCTTCACCTGAAGGGTTGGAGCTGTCTTGCTCCAACACGGGCGCAGTAGGGGAGGGACACAGAGGCTCGTCGATGGGTTCAAATGGAACATCGACGGTCGGCGCGACTGCAGGCGCCTTTCCATGGTTATCTACTGCCGCTAAGTTGGAGAATAGCAGATCCAGCCCGGTAACGGCCGCGGACAGATCAATTGGCGAACGACGAGCGGGTTCATCGCCGGGGTCATCAGGTCGTTCAATGGCGTCCGGGTGGTCCGCCATTGATTGCGCTGTGAACAAGCAGCATCTAACGAGACTCCCTAGCTAGCTGAACGATGGAGGTTTGCCAGGAAGAGAGGACACACGGCTGACTGCCTCTTGGTACACCAGGCAGCAACGCGATGAAACCTTACACATGCTAGATGGAAGGAAAGCATGGAGCAGACTGGGGTGGGAGACTGGATGGCTGGCAGCACGGCTGGGCGGCGTGGATGCATCCGTGCTTGCTAGCACGACTTAGACAAAACGGGCCAGAGGACCACAGATGCTTCACATGGGCCTGAATCCCTCGTTGCGCTGCCTGCCAGCATCGCTGTGCTGCAACCCTGTAATTGGCCAAATCAGGAAATGCTGTCAAAGTGGCCAATCATCGCACCACGCGCGCCAACAACGCATCCCTCTACGAGGCAAATTTGTCTGCTACTCACCGCCACGCCCTGCTGACACCGCGGGAATCTGATATTCCCTGTACAGCCGGGCAACTACACACGAACCGTGTAGGAATCGCTTTCAGGGTCGGATTCGTTACAACGTAGTGGAATCAGTGTCACTAATTTTTTTTTGCTGAAAGTTCAGAGCCATGTGCTAGGTGAAGGCTGAAAAATCAGCCCCACAAAAAGCTGAACACTGGAAAATCAGTGTAGGTTAAAGAACTTCGAGTTGTTCTCATGTTTGTCTTTCTGCATTTTCGAGTGCATCCCAATCTTTCATTCTTCCTTTGTCTCTTCGTTATTAGTCGTCGTTATTGTCTTAGCATTCGTTCAATGTTTAGCGTCAGAACACTCACTAAGATACCTCAGTTTTCTCTTGTTTTCGCCCGTGTTTGTTTCTTTGCATAAGTTATGTCGTAGCAGTAACCCGTTTCCATTTATCGTGTATGTCGCTTTTCAAAGACTGCAACCCAAGCTGCTACGTCATTCTAAATTGTTGCATCCCGATTTGAATACTACATAGTTTCTTCCGAAATCGTAGTTTGTTGAACTTTATCACTCTCTCGTTCGTTCTCTCATTCGTTCTCTCTCGTTCTCTCTCTCTCTCTCTCTCTCTCTCTCTCTCTCTCTCTCTCTCTCTCTCCAGTTTTCTCTCTCTCTCTCTCTCTCTCTCTCTCTCTCTCTCTCTCTCTCTCTCTCGTTCGTCCTCTCTCTTGTTCTCTCTCTCGTTCTCTCTCTCTCTCTCTCTCTCTCTCTCTCTCTCTCTCTCTCTCTCTCTCTCTCTCTCTCTCTCTCTCTCTCTCTCTCTCTCTCTCTCTCTCTCTCGTTTTCTCTATTTTGTTCTCTCTCTCTCGTTCGTTCTCTCTCTCTCTCTCTCGTTCGTTCTCTCGCTCGTTCACTCTCTCGTTCTCTCTCTCTCGTTTCGCTCCCTTTCGTTCTCTCTCTCTCTCGTTCTCTCTCTTTCTCCCCCAGGGACATTTCCTCGCCAGGGGCCCCGACAAGAGGGTTCTGGGCCTCTGCTGCCAGGTTGCATTTGGCCATGTAGCTTACGGCCTGCGCTCGCTGAAGGGCGACCGACCATCTCTGGCAAAACTGGTTGAGAAGTTTTGCCGCCTGGTAGGTTGTAGGGTTGGCGTTGAAGAGCCTGCGTGCCGCCGTGTGAGCCAAGAGCTTGAGGAAAGCGGGGACCTCTGCGCATGGGCAGCCATAAGTCTCGACTGCAAGGGGTACGAATGATACGTAGGCTGCCGGGGAGCCGCTGTAATCTGAGATTTTTTTGTCAGCGGCTTCCCTGGCAGCCCACCCCCTCCCTTTCACCGCCTTGGGGTCGCGCTTGCTGATGGGGTCAGTGATGGTGGCGTCCCCGATCCACACTGCCCCTGAGGACCGATCACGAATGGCTAGGTCCGCTGTCTTCCTGGTGACCGGGCAGAACTCCGCCGTTTCCTTGTGCACCATGAACCCGGCGTACTGTGCCATCCGAATGCACTCATCCCTCAGCTCGTTGTGAGTATTTGTCCTTCCCCCTCCTGTGGGGCAGCGTAGAGATGGTTTGGAAGCCGTTTGTCTGGGATGGGAACCTGTTTGGTGCAGTCACAAACTTCAGGGGCCGAAAATGGTAATCCTAGCCTGAACTGGAGGGATGTGGCAAAGTGGGGACCGTCAAGCCTCAGGGAGGGCATGAGCGGAACTGCATGGAGCCAGTCCCCAGCTCCATACCCTGACAGGGAGAGAAGTCGCTGCGTGTGGCCGCTATTGGGGTTTGGGGTCATGCTCCGTGTGCTCTCCACCTGGTTAGCATATCTCCTGCCCTGAACTGCCAAGGCTAGCCCCTGCTGCAGCTTCACACCCGTGGGTGCAGCCCTGTCCCTCTGAAGTAGCTCCCCTGCATCACTCGGTAGGTCTGCCTCGCACCGAGCTAGCCAGCGGTAGAGGGCGCAAGAGTCTGTGTACGGCCCCATCATCTGCACCCGTGTCTCCGTCAGGGGCCCTAGCTGACTATCATCAAGAGTTGAAAGCAGCTGCTGTGTCTGGGTAAAGCTAGCTAGGTAGCTGTAGCTGCCCTCTACAGCGGGGTCAGTGATTCCCAGGCCCCCAAGTGACACTGGCAGCGAAGCTTGGGACCATGTACGCGAGATTTCAGCATCACCCCGCGGGTGCCTGATGCCACATGCCGTTAACAGCGTCTCAAACAACTGCCTGCCCCAACCGGACCATTCGTTCAGTGGCAAATGGATGAGGGGTGTGGTCCGGATGAGGTAAGAAACTCGTCTTGAGATACACCTGGAGAGTAGGAGGGCAGCCAGCTGAGGTTCCATCCGTGCTATCAGGCCGAGAGGCGCCGCCATGGAACTAAGGTTTGAGCGGATAAAGTCAGCTGTGGCCTCATCAGAGCCTATGAAACTGCCCAGCAGCTTCACGCTGTTTCCAGTGAACGGGACACCCTGAGGTAAGGCGGTGGTGGGGATGCCTGACTGTGACCAGGCCGCGCATTTAGATGGGTTATGATGCAGGCCAATCGACGTGATGCTCTCTGTGAAGTGCTGAAACGCTGCTACGCAGGTAGATTGCTCCCCTAGGAAGGTGACGTCGTCTGCGTACGCTAGGCAGGCTACATTGGGGAAGGCTTGGGCTGTAGCTTGTAGCGCGGGATTGATTGCAGCTGCAAATAGCAGTGGCCCTAGAGGGTCTCCCTGCCGAACTCCCGTCATGCTCAGCAGGGGCTCATGCTTGAAGCCCTCGTCCAGGTAGAGCAGTGAGGGGGCCCCGTAGGTGAGCTGTACCAGTGGTATTAGTGGTGCTAGAGCGGAGTTGTCTAGCGAGGATGCTATTGCGGCCCTGTTGACACTGTTGAATGCGTTGGCCAGGTCTGCCTGGAGGACTAGTGCAGATGAATTTTCAGATAGGTAGGCGCGGGTGATGTGAATAACCGCCTCCGCTCCCCCAGGCACTGCTACGCCGAACTGGTGGGGCATGAAAAAATTTCTTGCTGCCCCTGCTGTCAACATCAGAGCTGTTTTGGCGGCAAGTCTGGTGATGCTTTCACCAATAGCTATCGGCCTTGTCCCTCCGTCCGGTTTGGAGAGAGCCAGTAGGCGGGACGCTGTGAGGAGCCTGGCGACTGGGGGTGGCAGTTTCCCTGTCAGAATGGTGTTGACCATTGCGTGGAGGTTTGTCGCCACTGACTGGTTGACTAGACAGGCCTCCCGCAGGTGTTCGAATGTCAGACCTGATGGGCCTGCCCCAATCCCATTGTCACAGCATGACAGAACTCTGAGAAACTCGGGCAAGGTGGCAGTCAAGTCGGCGCTGGTGTCAGGTACCGGCCAAACGAGGGGTGCTTCAGGAGCAGGTGGGTGCTTGGCGCGCAGTGCTTCCAGGGTTGCTGCTGACGGGGTGCACACCGGCGTCACCTCCAGGGCCAGAACCGCTCTCCTCAGGCTGCCACGTCGCGCAAGGCCCTCTGCCCTTGCAATCACTCCTACGTCGTCAGGGATATGCCTGGGCGCTTGAGGGTAGGTCAGAGAGTCAAGCGTGTCAGAGTACAGTGCACTCCACTCCCCCGCCAAGAACTGTCGTAATCTTGCTCTGACTGCAGGCCAATCGGGTTTTTGAGGAGTGTGTTGTCTCAGCGTCAGGCGTGCGAGGAACAGAAAGACCGTCCATGCTGTCAGCGATTCTGGGTCGTCAGCCAGTCGGAGCAGAGGAGCTAGCAGCGCTGTCGCGAAAATTGGGCGGATGTCCTGTGGGAGGTGGCGTGGCAGGGGTGCGTTGCGACTGTCGCAGAGTTTCGTCAAGTCCCATGTTTCCACGGCAGCGAAAAGCGTGTTATCAGCAGCCAGTGATTCAGGCGATTTTTCCGTAGGTGGTTGCGTGTGGTTTGGCGGTGCAGTGGTGGGTTGGGTCGGGTTGGGATTGGTGGCGCGAGCAGATGTTGCAGAAATTGGGGCGGCTCGGGAGGAGGGGGAAATTTCTGCAGATGCGGCCCGATTTCCTGGACCAACCCCAATCCCCCGTGCTTCTCGAATTGGTGTTGGTCGTCTTCCCCTCGGCGGACTCCTCTCCTCAGCCGAGTCCTCTGTGGTGGACTCGGCTTCTTCAGCTGGGATAAAAGAGGCATCGCGGGCCTCGTCATCCTCATTAGTCCTTGTTAAAGCCCTCCGCGCAGCTTGTTGGAACGCGTTCTCCGGCCCTCCGCCACGTCCTCCCGTAGTCTGCCGTCCTGCGCCTCGTCCGCGTCGAGATGCTTGTGTCACTTGGGGCCGATTTCTCGTATTCGCCAAGGCCCTTTGTCGTGGCGTCAGCTGTGAGTGCCCCGCTGGTTGTCTCGTCTCCAATGTCGACTCCTGTGGAAAAGCCGCCCTCGGCTCCCCCTGCCGGACCGGTCCCTCCTCCGAAATTGGCGGCAACACCCCCGTCCGTTGAGGTGTCCGCGCCTGCGTCGGCCGCGTCACTACATACTGCGCCAGCTGGTGCGCAGGGCCCTGCCCCTGTCGCGTCGCCTCCTGCGCCCGCTGTGGCCCCACCTCGTGCGCCTGGGGAGGCGCCGGCTCCTGCGCCTGCTGCGGCGCCGGCTCCCCTGCCTGCCGGACCGCCGACTCTAGCCCCAACGGATGTGAAATCTGCTCTGGCTGTGGAGTCTCCCCCTGTGCCTGCTGTGGCGACGGCACCGGCGCTTGCTGCTGCGCCTGCCGCACCCGCTGTTGTGATGCCTCCCCCGCCTGCTGGGGTTGTGGGGAATCCGTCTGTGCCTGCGGCGCCGACCTCCTCTGCTCCAGCCACTGATTCCCCTGCTGCTGTGTGCCCCGCCCTTTCTGCTGTCGGTGTGCCTTCTGTGCCGCCTCCGGCCAACGGATTGGCGTTCCCTCCGGCGTCTGCCACCACCGCAGACTTGACTCCGGCAGGGGCGGGGGGGGGCGGTGGCAGCGGTGCTGTCTCCGATAGCATCTGCGTCCCAGCCTGCTCGCCGTCCGCCGTCGCCTGGACGCCGCCATTCCCGTCACCCCTCCCCGTCTCGGCCGACAGAGCGTGAGTCGGCGTGTCGTCGCCGTGACTCTCCTCAGCGCCCGCATCCCCCTGCGCACTGGAATTCCCACCGTGGCGGTCGTGGTGGTTGGAGGGGGGGTCGTGGGCGTGGAGGTGGCGGTGCGTATGTGCAGCCGTTGACGCTTGCGGACGTGCAATGGGTTGTGTCGGCTGCAATGCGCGAGGAGAGAGCTGGGCAGGCGAGCCAGAGCAGCTCATTACAGGTCGCACCCGCCCCTGTAGCTCCCCCTCCGTCTGCTCTGCTTGTGGATGCCCCGTCGGCAGCTGCACCTCCTCCTCTCGCTCCGGCGGTTCCAGCTGCCGCGCCACCGGCCCGCTCCCTGCCGCAGTGGGCACCTCCGCTTCGTCAAGTAGAGGTCCCGGAGGCGACCTTGGGGCAGCTGTGGCGCCTTTCGGAGAGCCTGCGTGCCATTCACCTGATCCAGGTGTATGGCCACCTTGCTCTCTCCCGCGGTCGCGGCCCTCTTGACAAGTGCCTTGAAGTCGCCGATCAACTCGCGGAGATCCTGGCGCCCGTGTTGGCTGTGCCCGCGAGGGGAGGAGTTGCGGGTGTAGGACAGCTTGGTGCGGCCGTCCGTGGATTGCGCCGGTCCTTGCGCGCAGGGACTGGAGGCGATCTGATCGCCGCAAGCACGGAGGTGGTGTTGGAGTTGCATCGGACGCAGGCGGGGCTCCTCGCTGTTCTTGAGGCTGATCGGATGTAGGATCCGCCACTGCTTGTCCCATGTTTGACATTAGTAGCTAGACCCCAGTGCCATGATTGCATGCCTTTGTAGTGCGAGCACGTTTTGCCTGTTTTGCTTGCCGCCGCAAACGCGCGGCCGAAGGCCGCGCCGTCGAGCGTCGGCCGCCGAAGGCGGCCGGCGCGAGCCGCTCGGTTAGGAGAGAAACCCAACCAGAAACTGAAAAATGAAGAGGCCACAAGGCCTTCTGAGGCCTTTATACTAGGACTAGGGGGGCTAGGGAGGCTAGGGGAGGCTTGAGAGGCTAAGTCACTAGGTGCCTCTCTCTCTCTCTCTCTCTCTCTCTCTCTCTCTCTCTCTCTCTCTCTCTCTCTCTCTCTCTCTCTCTCTCTCTCTCTCCTTTCTCTCCCGCTCGGTTAGGAGAGAAACCCAACCAGAAACTGAATAATAAAGAGGCCACAAGGCCTTCTGAGGCCTTTATACTAGGACTAGGGGGGCTAGGGAGGCTAGGGGAGGCTTGAGAGGCTAAGTCACTAGGTGCCTCTCTCTCTCTCAAGCAGTCCTGCATTGATGTGTTGCAAAGGTACAAGCAAGGCAGCGGCAGTCCTAGCAAGCAAGTTAACCTAGGCATGCAGAGGTAGCAACCAACTTAATCACAGGCATGGCATCCGTTGTACTAGGTTGCTATACTAGGTTGCAAGGCGACCACACTCAACCTCGGGGCAAGACCATTGCTGGCCAGCTCAGACCTTCACCAGAGCCTGCATCCCCTCCTGCCCAGGCCAGCAGAGGGCGGTCTCATGCGGTTGAGCCAGCCCAACTGCAGTCGGCCCGGCCCTCTACTCCCCTAGGTCGAGTAGCTGGGCCATGCCGTCCTCGAGGACCTGCCAGAGGTCCCCGAGGCTTGGTTCCCACGGGTCAGCTGCTGCCTGGGGGTGTGCCGCCTCGAGTGCCCTGTTGGACTTGGCCATCAGGGCATTCGCTTGGCAGCGCTGGAGCATGACCGACCACCTCTGTCGGTAATGCGCCGTGATCCGAGAGGCCACGGCAGTAAGTCTCCCCTGCCGGTGCTTCTTCTTTGCCGCCTGTGTGCCCAGGAGGCGTAGGAACCGCTGGGTATCCTTAGCCAGCGCCCCGTAGGTCTCCACCGCCAGACCGAACACCCCTACAAAGCCGGGGCGCCCCTCGTACAGGCCCCGCTTCACCCTGGCCGCGTCCTCCGCCGCCCACCCTGGTGCTTTAACTGCCCTCTTGTCGCATCGCTGCAGGACAGGATCTGTGACCGTCACGTCCGTGACGTATGTCTCGTTGGACTCCTTGTCCCGAATCACCAGGTCCGCTCGCTTTTGGTTAGTGATAGGCGAGAAGGCCGCTGACTCGTGCAAGATACTGGCTTTTAGGCTGGATGGATTTGAAGGAAGGGAGTGCCGTACCACTTACAGTGCATTTTTTTTAGTTCCTTTAATTATAAGTAATTTCTCTATTTGTTTCATTTCTGTTTGTATTATGCTTTTTTTTCTAGCAATCATAATGCATGTCTGCATGTTTCAAAAATATATCTTGCCGATCATCGTCACAAAAGGTTGAGTGGTCCACCACTATGACAGTGAAGCCATTTTCAGCTGGACTTGATCAGTTTAGATATTTTTTTGGGATATGCAAATTGTATTACGTTGTCATGGTAGCTGTTTAATTCAACGTTTATATTGCTGACTTCCTCGACATGCTAGGCGGGGGAAGCGGTAGTATAAATTTAGGACTTCAAATATTAATCAATTCTTTTGATGAATATGAGAAATGCAATTATCGCTTGGTCGGTCATTGCAATTCTCCAAAGGTTCTCAAATTTATGAATCACGCGCGTTACAAAAGAACGACGTAGAGTAGCAATCACGAGCAAATAACCAGAAAGCTAAACAAGTACGGTATATCGTTATTAAAAAAAGTCAGGTTTATTAGCGCCCTAAACAAGCATTTTCCAGTTATTTTACAATGTTTTTTGCAGACATGAAACAAGTGCGGTATGATCGTTATGAAAAGATTGTCAAATTTATTAGTACCCTAAACAAGCCTTTTCCAATTATGTTTTTTTTTTTTTTTGCAGATAAATTAAGATTCCCGTGATTTTTTTTTTCTTTAGGTCGATTGCAATAGGTTGCTTCGCAACCCAAAAAAGGATGTTACCGATGCTACAAGTTTAGGATCTCATATATACCGTAGTTCGGTTGATAACCCTTCTCTTACAGATGACCCATAGGCATTGGCCTTTGACGAGGCCGTCATCTGTTATCGTGACCCATTTGATGGCGACTTACGTAATCCGTCGCCCGTCCGACAGCAGACGTCTCGCTCGACCGTCAAAGTGATCGGTCGAGCGCAATTGATGGCGCCGTCGATTGTGACCGTCGGCCGGTTGCGAAACCCGTCTGACAGCGCGGCGTCGATGGTGACGTCAGGTGCTGTAACCCGTCTTGTCGAGGATGCACGGTGGTCGACGGCGATTGGCCAATGTCCGTCGAGCAGTGCTCGATAAATGTCACCGAGATTGCAACAGTACGACTGACATATATATGCGAGTAAGAATCTGACATTGAGACGGAGGGATTCGGAGGGATTTTTCGCCTGGTCAGGAAAGATTTTCGCGGTGACTCGAGGTATTGGGAGGGTTTTGCATTTGCCCCGAAATCCTTTTGTGCCAGAACCGTGGGGCGGCATGTGATGACGTCACGCGTCCTTATATAAGCGGTTAGTAAATGGCTCAAACGCTGCGCGGGGATGGAAGCTGAATATTCGTGTTGGAGGGTCCAACAATACGACCCGCGCCCCTCGCCCGCGCCGCGGCGGCCCGCGCCCCCCGCCCCTCGCCCACGCCGCGGCGGCCCCCGCCCCTCGCCCGCGCCGCGGCGGCCCCCGCCCCCCCGCCCCCCGCCCCTCGCCCGCGCCGTGGCGGCCCCCGCCCCCGCCCGGTAGGAGAATAAAAGCAGGTGACCGGTAGGAGAATAAAAGCAGTAAGATATCAACTTTGACAATCTCGACGAAGGTAATTACCGTTCGTCCCAAGCCCACTACAGCAAACCCTATCCTGGCTCTCATTCCTCCTGCACGCCCTCAGTTGCGTTCTTCTCTTGTCAAAAGTGACGGCATTCACACTCAATTGTTTAATTTCGAACGCATTCAAGCTATTGCGCATAATGCTATTTCCATCGTACCTTCACACGACGGCGAACAACTTGCTGATTATATGCAGCAGATAGTTGATGAGGCTGAAGAAAAGATTCATTTTTTATTCACCGCGGATCAACGCGGTTTCGAGGTGGCTAACATGGCCTTAAAGTTTAAGTATGGCGAGGTCGTGGAGGATAAAAACGTTAAAGCGGCCACTCAAATTGTGATGGCCAGCAAGAAGAGATGGAAATCCCGCCCCTCGCAATCGAGGTCCAGGGGAACGCCACTGGACTTGGCGTCGGGATGGCGACGGGCGTTGTTTTTATTGCCGCGAATCCGGCCACGGAATATCCGATTGCTTGCAACGCGGCCAAGGGGCTAATCAGCCCGCTGAGATTGCTTGAAACCTGTGAGTGGTAATCTTTATTATAAAAGATAGTGTTGGCGCCTTGCAGTAACGCTACTGCAGTAAGGTTTGAGAGCAAATCAACTTAAGAAACATGGTTGGTCGGAGAACATTTGAACACAAGTAGTTTAGGTGTAAGTGCAAGATAGCATTGAAAGCAGGGTCGGAGAGGAAGGAGACACAAGCAATTAGGTATGAGAGTGCTACAAAACAGCCGGTAGGAGAATAAAACCAGTAAGATATGAGATCGAGACAGCATGGATAAGAGGGCAGGAGAGCAAGGGCACACATATGGTAGGGTATGAGAGCGCAACAAAACATATAACAGAGTATGAGAACAGCATTACAGAAAAAAGGGTAGTAGATCAAGGGCACACAAGCAATATGACATGAGAGAACTAGCATCATTCAAATAGAGATAAGATAATTAAGGGAACATTGAACTATGACTCACCAGCATGATGTCCCTGTGGTAGAGGACTTGTAACGGGTAGCCCTCGATGACGAATGTTGTTGTGACAAATCCTCTTCTTGTGCCAACGATATACTCAAGCTATAGGCGCTCCAGGTCTCGGCAAGTCCGCATATTCTCAGCAACTAGCACGTGCGCCAACTCGGAAACAAGTTGTATTAGTTTCTCTTTGTTCATCTTTGATAGGCTCATTCCCCCATTGGCGGAGTCCACATATTCTAGCAGCATCAGCAGGGCGCGGTGCCAATTGACCCGCGGTTCAGGAAGAGTAGCACCTACTTCAAAAGGGTCCATGATAGAGCTGGAGGCTTTGGAGGGGATCCAACCGGTAGGCAAACTTGGTGTCGCTGCTGCGGCGTCACTTGCTGCTACTGCCCTCCCTCCACTCTCACCACCCTCCCCCTCTCCCCCCACTTCCTCCCACTCCTGTGCTCCTTGCGCACTGCCTCCACGCTGGCAGCCAACCACTCTCACCACCCTCCCCCTCTCCCCCCACTTCCTCCCACTCCTGTGCTCCCTTGTGTGCTGCCTCCATGCCCTACGGGAAAATGGTCTTGGATATGATTATTGGGCAGTTGCAGGTTGTCTTGGGGGTTATGGCTGGTTCTTGGTGAGTTACGCTACGTCTAGCTGTGCTGGAAGAAGGCGTGATAGGCATTGACTTTGGGTTGGAAATCAACGAGGCACGTTTACCCACTCGTACGACACTTTCGTGGGGTTGGGTTACCCCGCAACGCCACGCAATCTTCGTGCAACTCTTGCTTGCCTATATCTATTTATGTTTTTGCTTTTGTATGTATGGATCATATTATTGCAAGTGCTACATTTTTTTTAGTCATGTGGAGACAAGCCCTACCAAAACTCCACCAAAACGCTAGCATGATACTATGATCATAGCCGAAGTTCATCATATCGCTCTCCATTATTTTA